ATGCTTTTGTCTTTTACAATGCCACTTCGCTTAATATGTAGGGTTAAGGCAGTAATCTACTGTTAATATAAAAGGCACGTCAAAATCAAATGGGAGATGCGTTCACAGTACACGACTAGTGCATTGACTACACCGTGTGGGACACTTCGCTATCAATATACGTACTGAATAAACGTGCTCCGTGCTACACGTCTGTTTCCCTTATAGCTGGGCTATAGCTTAGCTAGTTCTGGGAGTCTAGCTAGATGTTGGAGAATCTGCCATAGAGATTTCTGAGTCGGTCAGGCTTTACTAGCGTAGCAATCCGCTACAACCTACTTAGGTATATACTAAGTCATCAGAAACTTTGATCACAGTAATAGAGCAATTAGGCAGACGAACATGGAATTTGCTCTTCAAGGGGTAGAAACTTTTTATATTGGAACTTAATTCGAAATTAAAAATAATTTTACAGCTGAATGTATTTTATTAGACATATCCAAAATTTTCAGTGTCAAATGACCTGAGCTTATTTTGGCAAAAAACTGTTGCATCTATTTTAATAAATAGTGTAATATTTTTCAATAAAGGAATGTTGTGCAAAATTTTCATAGTTCAGTTAAGCATATGGAAAATTTTAAATCGCCTGAATTTCACTGCACTAATTGGTTTCATATGTAGCAGCTTTTGAGGTGATAATTGAAGATTGGAGTACTGATGAAAATACTTCAAATGACGCTTTAATATAGAGTAGTAAAAGGAGTGACGATAATTGCTAGTATTTTGGGCAGGGCTTTTAAATAAGCAAAACAATTTATTGGGGCCATTTATTACGCCCCAAGTTGCTTCGACTGGTAACAAGAAAACTATGCGAATAGGTGTAAATTTCATATACACTGCTTATAGCCTAAAATATTCTATTTGTGAATAAAAATAGACCCACGAAAACACCTAAATCTCAAATTTGGCCCGTCAGTGCGGTTGGAAGATCCCACAAAACGAATAAAGATTAGTTTTATTCGAAATAAATAGAGGAAAAGCTTTAGACACTTTGCCTTTCAAGACTTATGCCCTCAATAATTTCAAACGTTTTATGACTCTCATTGAAACGTATTATCGAATTTGTGAATTGAATTTGTTGTCAATATAAGTCAAATGGAGATCATTTCAAGTTCGAAGCAATGAATATCAACTGATTACACCCAAACATGGCTGACATAGCAAAAGCACCTATTCTTTTTTCTACTTTAAGGACTAATTTTTACATCGAAATTTCCATAATAAATGGCTTGAACGAATATCCAATTTCTATATTTGCATTCAATTTCATATTGAGCACGCCTATTATCCGGAAATTCATTAATAATTAATATTTAAATAGCCGACTTACGAAAGCATAGCCGTTACAAATTGTTTTATATCCGATCTGTACTTTTCAGCCTCCTCCGGTGGTAAGGAATCTATACTCTCTGAAGAGAGTTTTCTTTCCATCGGAGCCTCGTCGGCATACATTGCAGGATCGCCACCATCCCCATATTCACTGGCCGAGCTGTCGTCATCTGCATCTCTCGATTTGTGCCCTGAATCAGATATTCCACCGCCTGGCGCGACTGAAGCCAGTTGCTGCACTGCATTGGTAGTTTTCTTTTTTAAGTTGCCTAGTAAATCATCACTTTTGGCTTGCACGGAAGAGAAGAAACTAGTTGTGTTTTGCATGAAGGAGGGCTTGCCTTCTTCGCCTTTGAAAATACTGGAAAATGCCATCTGTAAATCAGAAGTATTAAATTAGCAAAAGCAACTTTTTATTATGATGCATTCACTTTGTTGGTGATCAGTGTTCGAGAGTTATCTCAAGTTCTTGGAATACAGGCGCTTACAAGGATACGTAACAAAGTAGCATTTGAGATGCAATGTTTTACATTTCAAGTACTTTTTATTGAAAGAGAAAAGTCAATCTTCCATGAGTATTGGACTCTTAACTGAGTTTGCTGTATGCCTGTTCGAAGAATGTTTTTGCTGTGGTGGTATAAATTGTAAAAAGTAGGCTCACTTGTTGAAAGTTGTTTGAATATGGGTTAGAAGAGTGGAGTTTGATCAGCATTGATGTGTCTGAAATTACCATGATGTTTAAACGAGTTGACTGACTGTGTTTATAGACGAAGAACTTAAAATTTGACTTTTCTTGAAAAGCGGAATTTGTAAATAACGCATTCATGTCTACGAGAGATTGCAGATATGTATAGTTCACGATTCTAATAAATTAAAACCAATGGAGCGAAAAGGTTATTCAATGATGCATTTTTGAGTTATTGAATAAAGCGAAAGACATAACTTCTTAAACTTATTCATTGGAAATCAGTGGGTTAGTGCGTTAACTAAGAAGTTCATATGCGTTATCACCTCTTACGACTAAATCACGTATTATCGAGTGTGTGAGTTAACGATTAACATTATGGGCATTTTTTTAGATTTTGAGCAAAATATTTTTAATCGATAAAATTGGAAGTGTCAATACCGGATCGGTTTTCCAAACCTTCAAAATAAATCTTTGAACTTCATCTGTCTGTCTTAATATAAATCAATAATCCAATGGGAACATAATTGTTAGTCTAATCTACACGTGTTGAGATAAAAGGCGACATTAGCGTTCACGTTAGTATGATCAGCCTCTCAATTAATTTGATTTAAACATTGTGGATATGGAGTTGTTCAGAAATTAAGGGATCAATCCGAGTGATCAATATTTTTGAGAATAGCGAGTAAAAAATCATGATTTCTGCCACCCTATATTCATTCCCTTCTTCTTAATGCTCCATCCAGCCCTGAGTTCATTTTATTGCAATTTTCCAGTATTTCATCTCCTTCTTCTTAGAATGCTTACTGGTGAAATGAACTAGTGAAGCATGCTGCTGGGAATCTGAAAGTCATGGGAAACCGACCTCATTAAACCTGTTCTAAAATCCAGGAAACTTATTAGAAAGTTTCCAAATATTATAATTACATTCACATAAATTGTACTTGATGAGAAATATAACAAACTTGCATATTCACAAGTGCATTCAATATTTTACCGACATTAAAATAAAAGATTTTTCTATATAAACAATTAATCTTCCAAAACTATCCTATAATTCGATTAAATAAAATGAAAATAACGATTTTCATAGTGTTCGATTGTTGCTACCTACTTCTGTCTGTTATTAAAACTCATAAAATCTACAAGTAACTAACTTATGGTTATCTTGAACAAAAATTAAGTATTTTATTTTTTCCACCTGAAAGTAAATAAGGAATAAAACGAAATGAAAATGGCAATAAGAAAGCTGGATTTACCTCGACTCAACGCTGCTCAGAACATGAACGAAAGTGGGACTTTGAGGGAAGCGAAGCGGCCGAAACGTGTTTGCTGTCTTACTCCCTCCAACCAATAAGCGTACAATGCTTTCATTCACACTGGCCAATCACACAAGGCCAATTTAGTGAGAGTGGTCGTAGTTTTCTCAAGGTAGCCGATCGATGGATAAAACGGTAGTCTGGTACTTTCTCCCAACGCAGCTAGATTCTCTGCTCAGTGATTTATGCACGTTTTGAGAAGAAATATTTTATCATGGAAGCATTGAAGTGCTCATATTAATTTCCCCTAATAGAGCACTTACAAGGAACACAGAGGAAACTGTAAAAAGTAAGGTTACTTGTTTGCCAAATGGCAGATCTGCGTAGATTTCACAAGTAAAGAACCGTATCATTTTTTGTAGTAGTGGTTTCAGGCAATAAAGTCCTTTAAATTTTAATTAATTTGTGTTCTCGTATGAATATTATTGCTAAATCAACTTTCTAAATGTCAATAAATTGATAGAAAAATAATGTGCCTAATACAGAATACTTCCCAATTTTTTAGCTTCGAATGGTGCTTTTCTTGACTCGTAAAGAAACTTTAGTCATATAAAGTATACTTTAAATATTATAAAACTTTAGTAACATCAAGTATATAAAATACGTTCGTCCTGAAGCATTATGATTTAAAAAACACTATTGGAAATATAATTTGTATTTTCTCTTGCTTACGCCACAATCCTGTTCAAAGTTAGCAAAGTCATGCACTTTTTTCCCAATTCTCACTCTGGGAATTCGCTCCTATCGAATTAAACCAATCTTTGTTGCGTGATCGGGTTAATCTGCATGCGATTTGATATTTATTCAGATGATGTCAGTAATTATTTTACCTTAATTTTATCGCCTTTATCTTATAATAAATGAAAGGAAAACAAGCCCCGGCCATTTAAAGGAAAGGTCAATGTCTACAGTGAAATGATTTCAATTGGATTATGCTTGCCATTGAAGCCAGAAAATTACTATTTTTACACATAACTACTTTGACCTGGTTCCACCTCAAAATTTGCGTGCTCAAAATAAAGTAGAATGTCAGAAAGTAAGGCCTTTCTGATTGTTATTCATAAAATTCACTGCTATCAGCGTCTGTCCCAAAACGTCATAATTTGTTTCAATGTCTGTTTTCTAGAGATTCTAAAATGAAATTAGACCTCTGGAACCTTTTTCTTAGAAAGCGAATATGAGGTTTAGAAGGTGCGTAAGGGTGCATTTGGTTCATTTTAGTGTTCACTTAACAGGGGTGTGAGACAGACTTAACTCCATGTGGTGTACCCTGAGCAACATATATACTCATACGGTAAAAATGTCTATTAATCGGCAGTTGACTTCTGACTTAAACTACCATGACCCCACTGGATGTCATATTCGACCCCTTTCACAGTACTCTTCCTACCTTTTCTATGCATTTGTTTCTGTCTGTCTGGCTGTCTCTTTTACATCTGTAAATCACTCTACTATTCCCCCTCTCGACCTTTTGTCACTTTGATGTAAGTCCTCCTCTCCGTGAACCCCAAAGTTAGCTGAAGGGCTAATTATAATCCCCAAAACGCCTGCCATTTGAAAAAAATAAAGTTTTCACTTTTGAATTTGAATTTTTAATGGGCTTTTGAGCATTATTGATTATTAATAATTTTGGCCTACCACAGGCCTGATGAATCATCAGCTCTAACAGGCGAAATCAAATGTAGATAATTTAGATAACATTTACCCTTTCAGTTGACGCATATTCCTGCTGAGATTGCTAATTTGTTTTTTCCGATTTTTCACTCCACGCACATTTCTGTTTATGCGGAGAGAATTCTGATGAGCACCATTTGTGAACCAAACAAGAGACAGTATGCTTGCTAGGAGATTAGAATGAATTATAAGCTGAGCCACTGTCTATGCTTGGAGGATCCTGAGGACACTAATGCCCAATATGTGGGAAATAAAGTGCTATGGTTTAGGTTTCAAGACAAAAACGGGCAAATGATGAGTTTCCTTCGCGATTCTTGAATTTTGTAATGCCCTTCTGAGTACTTCAATGTAAAGTAGTTGAAATTCATGGAGGGCAAGAAGCTATTAAGGTTGATTTCAGGAATCACATTCGTCAAAGAACATTCTGGAATGTGCGGCAATGTGTAAAGAAACTCCCCAGCCAATGAACAATCGAGGTATGTAACATAGAACAACAAGAATTTTATTTATTAGCAAAGCTTCGTTTAGGAAGCTATTCATACAGAGGATTTCGCCAAAGAAGTTTGCTGAGGTATTTGCTATTATTTGGGAAAAAACGGAATTGTTTTCAATTTCCATATATTTTAGTTTAAATTTGGCAATATATATATATATATATATATATGTATATATAAAGTGGTATATTGAACTAATTTTATCTATGCAGACGCCTTAATTTATATAACGAAATCCATAACTTTCCTCCCTCAAAATCAGCAAATAATATTTTTTTTTTGAATAAAATAAGTAAAGAATTCCATTTAAGAGATTTAAATAAATTTAATAGACAAAGAGTTTGCTTATCTGTTAATACATCTTCATTTGGAAAACTGTTTCCAATCGCTCATCTTTGGCAGGGGTTGTCAAAATAAAGTCACATTGATGAAAGATCTGAATTCGTCCAACATCTTGTGCCAGTCAGATGTAATCATTGGTGACGGCCATTCCATTCACCGCGTTGATGCCGATGCAGTCAAACCACTAGCCACTAACATGACAAAAGTGTTCTATGGTAAGTAGTTCATCAACACACAGTCGGATTATGATTCTCAATAACACAAAAGAATAAAAAACTTTAATTTGAGAAGCAACCAAAATTGATTTATAGAAAGTTCACCAAATGATTAAGAGGAGGTGAATGAAAAATTGCTATATTTGATATTTGAATTTTATTGGAACAATACCTATTTTCGCATTATGTTTGCACGTAGAAAAAATTAATTTCACAAATTATCATCTGGGTTGTTAGGCAAGGTCTTGTTAACGACAGCAAATCTTGATAGTTTGATTAAATTTTTCCTCCGAAGGCTAAGAAGGCAAAATGATCTTTCATGAAATTCGGCACCTTACAATCGTAAAATATAAAAAAAGATGCTTGAAAGTTTTAAGTTGTCAGAACTCTGTAAGTTGCTTTAACTCAATTTGAATGTGATACAAGTCCTCCTTCAAGTCACTCATTTGTAAAAATAAATGATCTTTACACATTTCACGCGTTAGTGACTAGGAGTATTATTTTACAAATACTGGGGCTGAGTATTCTATTCAAAGAGATTATCAACAAATAGAATGATAATTTTAATTGTCTTTCTTGATGGTTTTATTACGCTTGATTTCAAATCACTCGATTCGCAGTTGGGAGAGTGGTAATTAGGCTTTTG